GAGAAATTTAGACCCAAGAAATAGAAAGGACCCCAAATAGAGTCAACACAAAAAGGTCCTCACCCCATCCCCACCCTCCTCTGGCCAGCACATCATAGCCATATTGGTAAAAACTGAAGACAAAGACAATATTCTAAAAATGGCAAGGTAGAAACGTCAAGTTACTTATAAAGGTTATCCCATTAGGCTCACATCAGCCCTCTCAACTGTAACAATTCAGGCAAGGAAAGAATAAAAAAAACGTATTCAAAACATTAGAAGAAAAACAATTTCAACAAAGAATACTATATCCATCAAGATTATCCTTCAAATGGGAAGAACAAATAAAAGTATCCTCAGATTAAAGAAAAACTGAAAGAATTCACCAATATTAGACCAGCTCTAAAGAAAGTACTGAGGGGTGTGTCGTATCAGGATAACTAAAGAGAGACAAACAGAAATAGGAGAACAAAAAACAACTGAGAAAATGACTAGCAAAATGACAGGGATAAGTAAGAACAAAAAACAACTGAGAAGATGACTAGCACAATGAAAGGGCTAAGTGTGCAAGTATCAATAATAATGCTAAATGTTAATGGATTAAATTCTTCCATTAAAAGATGCAGACTGGCTGAATGGATATAAAAACAGAAACCATTTCAGTGTGCATACAAGAAGCACACTTCACTGTTAAGGACATACATAGACTGAAAGTGAAGGGCTGGAAAAAATACTTCATACAAATGGAAAACAAAAAAAGTTATGATACTGGTATCAGACAAAATAGACTTTATGATGAAAGATGTAAAAAGAAACAAAGAAGGACATTATATAATACTAAATCTTGTTCACCAAGAAGATATAACACTTGTAAATATCTGTGCACCCAACACTGGAGCATAGTGTATTTAGTCTCTTTAAATACATCAAAGAAAGACTTTTAGATCTCAAGGGAGAGATAGACTGCAATACAATACTTGTAGGAGATCTCAACACCCCACTGTTTCCTCTGGACAGATCATCTAGACAAAATATAAACAAAGAGATACAAGATCTAAATGATACCATACCTGAAATGGACTTGACAGACATCTATAGAGTATTTCATCCAACTACCACAAAATAAACATTTTTCTCACTCTCACATGGAGCATTTTCAAAGATTGACCACATGATAGGACATAAAACAAGCCTTTACAAATTCAAATGTATAGAAACTATACCCAGCGTCTTTTCCAACCATGATGGAATCAAACTTGAAAGAAATTACTTGAAAGAGCCCTTGAAAGTTCACAAACAAATGGAAACTAAAGTACTTACTCCCAAATGACTTTACAACTATAAAAGAAATTAAGACTGAAATAAAAAGTTTCATAAAAACCAATGATAATGAACAAACAAGTGTTTATAACCTATGGGACACAGCAAAATCAGTCTTCTAATTTTTTTTTTTGAGAGTTTTTTTTGCTATAGGGCACGTGCGCTCACCACAGAGAGAGAGAGACATAGAGACAGGAAGCAAGAAATCAACCCCCAGGGGGGATGGTCACGCCGCAATCCCTTCTCCTCCATTCTCCTCTTGGGATCTTGGGCATGCACGCACACACGCCTGGCGTGAGTTCTAAGTCACCAGGTCCTGGACGCGAACTGTGGTCGACTACATGGGAATCCAGCAACATAGCCATTATGCTAACTGCTGGTTCCCAGCAAAATCAGTCTTAAGCAGGAAGTTCATAGCGATTAGTGCTCACAAGAAAAAAGCAGAAAGGTGGCAAACAAACAACCTAACAACACAACTCAGGGAACTGGGTAAACAACAAAAATAAACAAACAAAAAAATTCCAGGAGAAAAGAAATAATAAGGATTTGAGTATAAATAAATAGAGAATAAAAGAACCATACAGAATATAAATGACAACAAAAGCTGGTTGGTAGAGAAGATAAACAAAATTGACACACTGTTAGCTAGCTTAATCAAGCAGAACAGAGAAAGGAACCAGATAAATCAAATCAACAGGGAAACAGATGTTATTACAATGGATATAACAGAAATACAAAATATCACCAGAGAATACTATGAGCAACTATATGTCAACAAACAAGAAAACCTAGATGAAATGGACAAATTTTTGGACATGTATAACTTACTGAGATTGAACCAGGAAGAAATAGAAAGTAGGAATGGACCCATAGCAAGCAATTAGATTGAATCAGTTGTAGATAGTCTCCCAACAAGAAAGAGCCCAGGTCTCAATGGCTTTACTTCTGAATTCTACAAAACCTTTAAAAAAGAACTAACCCCCAAAAAATTCAAAAGGAAGGAACCCTCCTGAATTTATTCTACAAAACCTCCATCATCTTAATTCCAAAACCAAACAAGGACATGACAGAAAAATAAAACTTCTGGTCAATATCTTGATGAATACAGATGCAAAAATCCTCAATAAGACACTAGCAAAATGTATTCAACAACATATTAAGAAGAATATGCACTATTACCAGGTAGGCTTTATTCCAGGGGTGCAAGGATGGTTCAACATACACAAAATGATAAATGTAATACATCACATTAACGAAGGAAAAAGACATCAGATCACATCAATTGATGCAGAAAAAGCATTTGATAAAACACAACATCCCTTCATGATTAAGACTCTTAGCAAAATCAGTATAGATGGGACATTCATGAACACAATAAAAGTCATCTATGAAAATCCATAGCCAACATCATACTTTTGTTCTAAAAACTAGAGTAAGACAAGGCTGCTCACTTTCTCCACTCCTTTTTAACATAGTACTTGAAGTTCCAGCCAATGCAATTAGACAAGAGAGTAAAATAAAAGACATCCAAATAGGAAAAGAAGAAGTGAAATTATCTCTATTTGCGGATGATATGATGCTATACACAGAAAATCCAAAAGAATCCACAAAAGAACTCTTGGAAGTGATAAATGAATATAGTAAAGTGGCAGAATACAAAATAAACATATAAAAATCTATAGCATTTTTATATACCAACAATGGACAAATTGTGCTTGTTTTGGTCATGTATGCATGTCTGTGATCCAGGATGGCTGAGACTAGGGGTGGATTGTGGCATGAGGACTTGTTAGGGAATACTTGTCTCTCGCTCATGGAAGAAATATATCAATCAATTTTAAAAAGACTTATGATGCATAGTAATTAAGATTATCTTGTGTTGAAGCAAGGAGAGATAAATACATTACATGATTCAAATAAAGAGTGATATAGAAGGTATGGTCTTTTACTAAAAAGTTTACTGGATATCTGCTAGGAAGAAAATGAAACTTGACTCCACCTCATACCTTCTACAAGATCAATACCAGATATACTGTGAATATAAACATGAAAGGCGTCAAACAAAACCACTTGTCCCAAAATTAAAAAGAAAATCCAAACACAAACAAATTTCTACAAGATAATATAGGAAATAATGATAAAGAACTGCCAGTCTTAAAGGAAAATAGTGTTGAATTTGACTATATTAAAATTAAGATTTTTTCCAACAAAAGATATATTTAATGCATAGAAAGGGAAGACAAGAAAATAGAAAGATACCTGTAACAGACAATCCACGATTAATTATTTTAAAAAATTATTTATGTAATTTTATTTATTCATTTATTTATTTTAATTTGACCACACACACACACACACACACACACAGAGAGAGAGAGAGAGAGAGAAAGAGAGAGAGAGAGAAAGCTAGAAAGTAAGCCACCAGGTCCGGGACTCGAACCATGGTTACCTATGTGGGAGTGTCCAGTGCCTCAACCATCACGCCACCTGCTTGCCTCCCCACAATGAACTCTTAACCAGAATATAAAGAAAATTGTTCCTAATGAGTAAGAGAAAGACAAACAATTCAATAGAAAGACAAATATTTCCAAATGACCAATAAACAAATGAAAAAGTAAGCAATTGCCTTAGTAATCAGGAAAAAGAAAATGAAACTGCAATGACATATTACTATTTACTTATCAAAGTGGTTAATGCTAAAAACACGGGTTTTAATAAGCTTTGGTAAGGAGGTAGACCAACCAGAGCTTGTACACTGCTGGTGGGAATGTGAATTGGTACTATCACTTTGGAAAACTGAGACAATCAGCTAAGGCTGAGCAAAGATATATCCTCTGACTTAGAAATTACTCAAGAGAAAGGTGTCATGAAGAATTTTTTGTTGTTGTTGGAGAGGTTTTCGCTCTAGGGCGCGTGCGCTTGCCAAACAGACAGAGAGACAGAGAGACAGAAAGCGAGAAATCACCCCCCAGGGGGAATGGTCACGCCGCAATGCCTTCTCCTCCATTCTCCTCTCGGGATCTTGGGCATGCACGCACAAGTGCCCGGTGTGAGTTTTAAGCCACTGGGTCTGGGATGCGAACCGCGGTCGACTACATGGGAGTCCAACGACATAGCCATTACGCTAACTGCTGGTTCCCAAGAATTTTTTTTTTTTTGATAGCTCCAAGCTAGAAACAACCCACATGTCTATCAAAATAGATAAAATTGTGGTGTTTTACAAAATAAGAACTTACAGCAATAAAAATAAACAAACTGCAACCATATACAAAAATAGATGAATCTCACAGACAAAATTTTGAGACAAAGATAGAAACCAGATTGAACTCAGATAGAAATGAATCTATTCTATATCGTTTCCTTTCCTTGTAGTTCAAAAAGTTAATAAATCTAAACAAAAGTGTTTCATGGTCTTTGGTTAGTGGTAAAATTATAAAGAAGATATGAGGACGTCATTCTCATAAAAAATCAAAGTAACAGTTCTTTATACATGGGGCGTAAGAATGAAAAACAAGAAAGGGACATCTGAGATGCTGCCAACATTTTAATTTTTGAAAAACTCGAATGATAGTTACGGGTATGTTTACTTCATGATAATTCCAAGTTGTATTTTTTTGGGGGAAGTACACTTTGCTGTATATGTCCTGTATTTTACAATTAAGTGAAAAAAAAAGATTTTTTTTTTTTATCTTATTACATACCTGGCTCAGCATAAAATTCAGGGGGTCCTCTGGCTTTTCATAGACTAAACTTTCAGTGATCTGCTGAGAGAGAGCACGAGGCATGGCATTATGGTTCTAAACAAAAGTTGATCTTCCCATTAAAAAAAAAATCATGTATCACTACGAAGTAATGACTTTCTCCTTTTTCTCTTTTTCTCTCTTTCTTTCTCTTTTTTTCCCTTTTCTTCTTTTCTTTCTTTCTCTTTCTTTCCTTTTTAGTTTGCTGTCAGGCATGAGCACTCACAGGAGAGACACAGGGAGGGAGGAGAGAAAGTGAGAAAGTAGGCCCCAAGGGGGATGATCATGCTATAATCCCTCCTACTCCACTCTCCTCTTGGCATTTTTGAGCATAAATGCACACACTCCTGGAATATTCCTCAAGTTGCTAGATCAGGTCTCAAATCATGCCACGTGGGATCCTGTTGCCTTATCCACCAGCCACCTGGCTGGCCCATAAAAACTTACTTTCTTACTATTGATAAAATTAGCCAAACTAAGATAAAATTTGGAGGGATAAAAATTTAGTATTCAATAGCAATGGGTATTTTTACTGCTTTCCATGAAAAAAGAGATAATGAGAAAGTCTTGGCGAAAGTCTCTGTTTTGAAAATTGTGAACTGGCTAGATTTAGGAATCCACAATATGCTTTGAAGAATATTCAAAGAAAAGTCTTTGAATACAATATTTAAAACACGATTTTGGGAGCCAGTAGGTGGCATGGTGGTTTAAGTGCTGGACTCCCATATGGCCAACCATGGTTTGAGTACCAGACCTGGTGTTTTGCTTTCTCACTTTCTCTCTCTGTCTCTTTATGGTGAATGCACTTGCCCTATAGCAAATTAAAAAAAGAATAATAATAAATAAAAATTAAATAAATAACTTTTTCAAAAAATATGATTTTGCAGGACCAACAGTTGGTGTAATGGCTATGTCACTTGACTCCCATGTAGTCGACTGCGGTTGGAGTTCCAGACCTACTGTCTTAAATTTGCGCCGAGTGCATGTGCGTGCGTGCCCAAGATCCTGAGAGGAGAATGGAGGAGAAGGGATTGTGATGTTGCCATTCCCCCTGGGGGGTGATTTCCCGCTTTCTGTCTCTCTGTCTCTCTCTGTCTTTCTTGCGAGTGCACGTGCCCTATAGCAAAAATCTCTCAAAAAAAAAAAAAAGAAAAAAATTATGATTTTGTTTAGATCCTTCTTCCAGAGGTATTTGACTTTAAAAGGTAGAAATGGTCCTCAGTATTTGTAACATTAAATGAGGACGTATATATAAAATTTCAGAGACTGATTTTCATAATTTTGTGATTGTTGAATAACTCAGAAAACTATGATAAAGTATGACTCTCATTTGCAAAGAATAACAATTAGGGAAATCTCAGGCATAAAATATCAAGTCTGTTTAATGCACTCACATCATTCATTATGCATTTCATACATATTTCTGTTAAACACATAGGTGGTAACTAATGTTTCTAATAACAATGTTGCATGCATGATCATTATCTTTTCTTGATAGGTATAGAAAATCGTTTATAGAATGATTAAAACTCTCCCTCTCAAATAGATTTCATCCTTCAATTTAATAATCGGAAGTTCCCTAAAAAACTCAGCATTGGAGGGGCCGAGCAGCTGACATAATGGCTATGTCATTGGACTCCCATGTAGTCGACTATGGTTCGAGTCCCAGACCCAGTGGCTTAAACTCACGCCAGGCATGTGTGCGTGCATGACCAAGATCCTGAGAGGAAAATGGAGGAGAAGGGATTGTGGGGTGGTTATCCCCCGCCCCCCCCCCAGGGGTGATTTCTCGCTTTCTGTCTCTCTGGTGAGTGCACATGCCCTATCGTAAAAATTCCTCTAAAAAAACTCCCCAAAAAACTCAGTATTTAGTACTCCCCCAACAAAAGGGATATTTTGAGAAGGAAAAGTCATAAAACAGAGTTAAGGAAGTAGATATCACTTAATCCCTATTGTATAGGGTTAGGGTTAGGAATCTGAGGTTCATAGAAGTTAAATGATTTTCCCCAAATTACAAGCGTAGGTTGCAAAATTAGAATTATAGCCTTTGGCAAAATCAGAATTATACCCTATTGCAAAATCTGTGCTCTTTTTTTCTAGATCTTACTTCTTTAAATTTAAACTTCTCCAATTTAAATATTTTCATTTGAGGTGGGTCATTTTTTTTTTTTTTTCAGTTTTGCTAGAGGGTCCTGGCGCTTGTGGAGGGACTAAGGGGAGAGACAGGACAGAGAGCACTTGGATGGTCACACCGCAATCCCTTCTCTTTCACCTATCCTTGTTGGGACTTTGGGCATGCATGTACGCATGCCCAGAATGTTTTTTCAAGCTACCAGATCTCAGACTCAAAATACACAGTTGGCCACGTGGGATCTATTATAGTTGCCTTAACCACCACACCACTGGTAGGCCTGGATCATTCTTATTTTACACCTTTCTAATCACAAGTATTTTCATGCACATATTTTATCATATATGTCTATGTGCATTCCTGGGTAAATAATATTAACATAAAAATAAACCAAAACCAAAATAACCTACCAAATACAGAGAAAGAAAAATTGAAGATGTGATAATCTTCTGTAATTCAAATTGGCCAAGGAATGCCATTCTTTAAAGTCCAGCAACAATGTTGAGGTTCAATGAAATTTATGATTTCTGGGACCAGCAGTTGGCATAATGGTTATGCCACTGGACTGCCATATAGTTGACTGTGGTTCGAGTCCCGGACCAGGTGGCTTAAACTCACACTGGACACATGTGTGTGCATGCCCAAGATCCTGAGAGGAGAATGAAGGAGAAGGGATTGCGGCGTGGCCATCCCCCCTGGGAGGGTGATTTCTCGCTTTCTGTCTCTCTCTGTCTTTCTGCTGAGCGCACATGCCCTATAGCAAAAACCTCTCCAAAAAAAAAAAAAAAAAGAGAAATATAGTTTTCACAAAAAAAAAAGAGATCTCC